TTTATACCAAAAAGTTCTACTTTGGTTTCATCTGACCACATGACATTCTCCCAATCCTCTGCTGTATCATCCATGTGCTCTCTGGCAAACTTCAGACCGGCCTGGACATGCACTGGCTCATACTCATAATACAAGTCAGAGCTTTATAAAAATAAAAAAGAAAGAAAGTTGTTATTTCGTAATTGGAGTTCAAGTTATCTTTACTTCCAATAGTCTTAACATAATACACAGGTCAATGACTAGATTTTTTTTTACATTTTCATTGTAAGTGGGCTAAAGTAGTTAATTAAAGGTAGTCTAACATAAATGTAACTGCTGTAATTTGATTTGATTTTAATAAACCGTGTAACTTGGATGGATTCGATGCTGGCGTGACCACAGTGCACACGTCTGCTGTCGCTCACAGTGGTCCAAGGGATCGCTCAGGGAGTTTGTGTGTTTGCTCAGACACATGAAAAATTAGAGGAAACATTGGCTGTCTGTTTGCAGGAAAATTAAAAATAATCATATAAATGAACATATGAAGTAACATGAAGTATTTCAATGTAAGCCTTGATTGCTTTGGAAAAGCAGTAAAACAGTCTCACTCTTACATCTTTAACGAAATTTGCATGTCATTTGCATACCACAAAAGCTTCTAATTAACAAACAATAATAATTAAAGACCCAGTCATCAGTGGGTTATGTAGCTGCTGGATTAACTGAAATTACTCAACAAGAAAACCAGGTACAAGAACAGTTTTCACAATTTTTTGTAAAGAATAAAAAATTGATGTAGTGATCACACCACTAAAGTTTATTCTTGATAAGTCCACATGTAATTATTTATTAGTACTGAGCACATGCACAGGGAAAAGTGAGAGAGTGTGGCTCTTTTTTTACTTTATCAAGTTCACTTTTCGGATTCAAAGCTTAGATGGTCACAGTTTTTTGTGACCTGTCCTGTCTGAGCATATATTATAATGACCAATTCCTTGAATATGATATCAAATACTACAGTCTGTCAAAGAAAAAAAAATATTTTTAATTTCATACAACTTAAGCAGGCAGAGCAAAGTTGCTAATTTTAAAGTGTTCAAACATCAGTCCAGCAATTCAATTCACTTCAATTCAGTTCAATTGTATTTATACAGCCTCAAATCACAACAACTGTTGCTTCAAGGCACTTTATATTGTAAGGTTAAAAAAAAGCCTAAAATAATACAAAAGAGTAAACCCCGACAGTCAGATAATCCCTTTGAGCAAGGACTTTGGCGTGAATAAAACAGAAAAACTCCCATTTAATAGGAAGAAACCTCCAGAAGAGCCAAGCTCTGGAAGCGAAGGCAATCTGCTGCGACCGGTTGGGGTTATTTGCACATCTTCTTCCACTTATCCAGTTCAGGGTCACAGGGAGGCTGGAGTCTACCCCAGCTGCCATAAGGTGAGAGGTGGGGTGCACCCTTGGAACGCTGCCAGTCTGTTGCAGGGCCTAACACAGAGACAGACAACCATTCGCACTCACACCTGTGGGCAAATTAGGATCTCCAATAAACCTAACCCCACTAACTGCTTGTCTTTGGACTGTGAGAGGAGGCCAGAGTACACAGTGAGAACGCATGCAGACACAGGGGGAATTCCACACAGAAAAGCCTCGAGCAGATGGTGGATTTGAGTCAACAAAGCTAAATACTGCAACACTGTGATGCCTGGTATAAAAACATGAAACATTTGTTCTTAATCAATACTTAAAAAGTCAAAGAGTTGCTGTAAATGCTGTTGGTAGATAATACCGTTGAAGTTTAAAAAAAATAACCATTATAATATTACGGAAGTACTTTGATTACAAAAGAAAAAGCAGCTTCTCTCAACTTGTTTCATTTATTTATTTATTTAAATTATGAATAATAAAAGAAGTAGAAGGACAGGAGAGTGTGGCATGACACTTTTATTTCTGTTTGTGTTAAACATGCAATATTAAGTTTTACTTTACAGTTTAATCAATCTATTCAATATCGATTTTCTTTCTATAGCACATTTAAGCAACAAAATTGTTTACAATTGGTTACAACTGTGTTATTATGTCTATTATGGGCAAGGCTGTGCAGAACTCAGGTGATCACACCTTTCTACCACAGCACTGACCTCTCCAACCAGGATGCCCTTAAATGCCCCTGAGATAGGCGAACCTTGATACCCCTTTTCGAAGAATCGTGCAACATAAGCAGTAAAAGGGATGTTTACATTGTACTTGTAAGCCAGCATTTTGACTGTGCAGTAGCTGTTTGGTGGGATGGAGACTTTTACTTTAGCAGAGTGACTGAACTCTCTTGTATCAGTCGGCACTTCTGAAAAGCTCAATATTGTGGTAATATTGCTAAGCACAATTGTTCCAGATACCATGTTAGGGATTGCTGTCTGTAAGGTCTTAGGGGCATCAGAAAAGGGAAGAAAGCCAACATCCCACCATTTATCATCTACAACTGTCTTTGAAAGAGTAACTGTCGTTGTCACTGGATTGCATCCATTGTTAGAAATGGGATAGACGGCCAAGGTCGATGGAGGATTCCGGATCATTTTAGCATCATTAATTTTATACTCGACAAAATGGATTAATTCATGGTTAATGTCCCTTTTGATGGTCAGCACCTCATAGTACCAATACCAATATTCTTCACCTCCCCAAGGAAGATAAAATGCCCAGTCACTGGGACGCACTTTACCTAGACCATACTTGTTTTTTCCAACATAAACCTCATCACTAGAACATGTTCTAACTGCATTTGCGGGCACTGAACCATAGGAACCTTCCTTCCACTCCAGAATCTCAAAGTATTTGTCATTCACAAGGATATCAAATGAGTTTGTACGATACTCTTTTTTGTCTAACGAATAGTGGCAGAAATTTCCAAAACGCCAGTTGTAGACGCCAGCATGGCATCCATATTTGCAGACATAGTCCATACGTGTGTCATATGAGTTCCAAATATACACTGCTTCATCAGGGACGGTACCATTCCAGGTCTGCCATTTCACGTTGCCCTTATTATCATACGCCTGCCTTTTCTTTTTCATCTTGGCAGGAAACAGAAGATGTTGATATACTGATGTGTTAACTGAGATGTCTGTCATTTCAGGAGCTCTGTCCTCCAGATCTGGGTTCAGAGAGGTCACTGTATGAAAGAAAACAAAAACCTTTTGCAAAAAAATCATCATATGCAAGTGTGAAAACATGAAACTTCAGATTTTGCTCTTTTTTTATGTTCACAAAGTCGACACAATTTTAAATTGACTATGATATTTTGTCCTCGAATTTCTCATTACTGCCAGACATTACCTGACATAATATTTCCAATCCTGTTTCCAAAACCTGAAAACCATTTTTTCCTTTTTTTAAAACCCTTTTAAAAGCAGGTTTAAACCAAATCTTGGTCCGAAAAATTTTAAATATGAATTGGACCACAGATTTAAAGAATTATTTCACTCCTGGTTATTCGGTGAAATTTTTAAATAAGTTAACTCCCATTTAAGCAGGAGATAAACAATTCCAGTGCCTCAAGGTAAACTGATGATCCAAGGATGAATTTGTAGTGTTCGGTGTGTTGCAGCCTTTAGACTGACGAATCCTGGTCTTTAGCTGTTTGATTAGTGCTTATTGCTCCTGAGCACATAGTGTACACTGGGTTTATCTGAGCATTTCATCTCTAAGTAGTTTTAGAGCTAGTATAAAAAAGTGAATCTCACTTGTTTGTTTCACAAAAGGACTCATGAGGACACTTTTGCAAATTCATAATGCCAGTTACATTTTACCATTTCTGTCCTCTGAGGGCTTCTTCACAGTGCCCTGAGGACTGGCTGCAGACAGAGCCAGCAGCAACAGCAATGACAGCTTTAATAAAAAAGAAATGCTGTTTTATTACAACCAGTTTATATTGCAGTCATTAACTAGCTGACCACCACTGTTTACATATTAAACACAAAGGCTGCACAAGAAACATGAAACTCAAACTTATGGTAAAATCTGAAAACTAAAATTCCTTAGAAATCAAATATTAAATTATCTGCAGCTATAAGTGAACAGTCTGCTTTGTTTTGCAGTTTTATATTTAGATTAGTGACATTTTCAAAACCTTTTTCAACATTTAGAGTAAAGTAAAAAGTTACTCACCATCATAGGTTTAAGTTGCTAAGTCTGTCTAGGTCTGACGTGTGGCTGGTTTATATATCTGAAACTGCAGACCAATATGTTTATTTTGAACTCTGACCAATCAACAGGTGGGTGAAAGCAGAGATCAATCACATGTTACAGTTGATTTGTTTCTGGTTGCGTCACATTGCATTTATTACCTTTCCCAATGAGTGTTCACATTTTAGACATACATGCCAACTATTTCCATTTTTAAAGTGGAGGACAGTGCAACACTGTTTCTATCCTTCCTCATTAACGCCATTTGTATAATATAACATTTTTAAATAATATAAAAATTGAATTTAATATTTAACTGAGCTTTTGTCTTTTATTGATTTTTTCTGATTTACATTAAACCTTTCATTCCTCACTTCCGCTTGTTGGCATTAATAACATTTTTTTAACTGCATTGCACGTGCTTATTTAAATGTGTGTGTGCGTGTGTGCCTGATCCTTGACCTATTGCGTAAGCCTTTTCCCGCTCTCTCTTCTGTTCCCGGCATTTGCTATTTTGTTTGTTTGCTTTGATTTCATCATTTGATCTCTTTTTGTTGACTATTTGCCCAGCAGCAAAGATATGAGTTTCAGACTTTCATTTACTAAATTGGGTCCTCATCTTTCATCAATCACATCACCATCAGTCACAATGTGGATGTAGTGAAAAAACATTAACAATATCCCAAATAACAGACAATTAGTTATTTGGGGTGGCTGTAGCTCAGGTGGCAGAGCAGGTCAGCCACCAATCAGAAGGTTGGTGGTTCGATCCCAGGCTGCCTCTTGGCTGCATGCCAAATATCCTTGGGCAAGATACTAACCCCATGTTTGCCGGTGGCGCCAGTGTCCGGCAGCCTCGCCTCTGTCAGTGCGCCCCAGGGCAGCTGTGGCTACAATGTAGCATGCCAGTGTGTGAATGTGTGTGTGAATGAAGTGTGAAGCGCTTTGGGGTCCTATGGGGCTGAGTATGGCCTGTATTTATATAGTGCTTTACTAGTCCCTAAGGACCCCAAAGCGCTTTACATATCCAGTCATCCACCCATTCACACTGGTGATGGCAAGCTACATTGTAGCCACAGCCGCCCTGGGGCGCACTGAGGCTGCCGGACACTGGCGCCACCGGGCCCTCTGACCACCACCAGTAGGCAACGGGTGAAGTGTCTCGCCCAAGGACACAACGACCGAGACTGTCCGAGCCGGGGCTCGAACCGGCAACCTTCCGATTACAAGGCGAACTCCCAACTCTTGAGCCACGATCACCCCAAAGTGCTACACAAATGCAGGCCATTTACCATTTATTTTAAACTTGTAACTTCAAAGTAAAAAGTTGCTATTAACATTAATGTATTACCCTGTAATCAATAATATTTTTAGACATTTTACACATTAACCCTCTGGGCTCTGTGCTGGCCACTTCACTTCTTTTTTTTTGACTACTACACTGCAGTGGACCAAAAGAATGACACAGGTTTGATCTTAAGGATCTAATAGTTGTGTGTGTTTGTGCATGACATTGCAAAGCAGATATGTATTTGCAAGATAGACTGGAATAAATTATGATGCATCAAATATTACACAGGCTGCAGTGAATTTTTGTTGATACAGACTATTGAGCTTTGTGTTCCCCAGTCAAACTTAGCTTTGAAGCACATGCTAAAAACACCTTTACTCTTGTACATTTCATAACGAGACACCATAGCCAAAATATTAACTCTCAAAAAAAGAATTCAAAGCTGCAGCACATATAGCAACAAACACTGTTAATAAATGTGTCCTGGAGTTTATGCAGGTGCAGAAAGCTTCCAGATCACTTATTTTTCTGGAAAGATGGCAAGAAGGGCATTCCTGCTCATTTCTACAATCTCCCAGATCTTGGAATACAATGCCTTTGACCTATGAAAACCACTTCACAGTAGTAGGAGTCCACTAAAACCTACAAATGAAGAGTGATCCTGGAAGAAATAGGGCGCACACTAGTGACCTCAACAATTGTAAGACAGCCTTGTCCCCGATGCTCAGATGGAAAAAAAATAAATAGGAAGATTTATGAAACCATTAGGACTTTATCACCTTTTATCTGAAAAGTTACTGGTAATATATAGCCTAACTGGCATTTAAAGTGTAAAAAAAGAATGTAGATAAAATGTTGGTTTTTTTGATTAAAAGGACTGGTGCTAATTTAAAGAGTCAAATCGGTAAAAGTAGATAAATGTTTTAATAAATATACATTTTACAGCATTTTGTGAACATACACAAAAGTTGCCATTTTTGGCAACAAACAAGCTGAGAGAGAGTTTTATATTTTTTGCTCTGCTTGAACAAAAATAACAGTGCATAATAATGTTGATGTTAATCAATTAAATGTCCCAGACTCTACTATTAATGATACAGTGGTCCCTTGTTTATCGCTGGTGTTACGTTCTAAAAGTAACCCGCGGTAGGTGAAATCCGCGAAGTAGCCAACTTTATTTTTTACAATTATTATAGACGTTTTAAGACTGTAAAACCCCTCACTACATGCTTTATACACTTTTCTCAGACAGGAATGAACATTTTCACACTTTTCTCTTTTGTTTAAACACTCTTAAAGTTCAAACCTTCATAGAAACATAAGTCCAGTATTATGGAATGAAACCATGCAAAATGTTTCGTCGGCATTGTTGTGTTTGTTGAGGAGAAAACTTACAAACATACAGTACAGCACTTCAGAGTCACACAGCTAGCGAACGAAGATTTATGTAAATTTGACAAGCTAAACGCATTATGTACTGTACAGCAGCGGTCCCCAACCGTTTTTGCACTATGGTCCAGTTTAATGTCAGACAATATTTTCACCGACCGGCCTTTAAGGTGTTGCGGATAAATTTAACAAAATAAAATGATACAGACAAAGACAAAAACTGTGGTATTTTGTAAATATAATAATAAACGCGAATTCAGCTGTGTAATTATGTAACTTTATTAGCAGCGTACTCCCGAAATGCGCCAAAAACATTGAGAGTAACATCCTCCTTCTGCCCCTTAATGCTCTCTGGTCGCTATAGTAACGCGTAAATAATCCTTTCAAAATAAGACACACAACTACAACACGGGAAAAGACCCAGGGAAACCGACTTAACGATTAAAAACCCCGAAAACCATACACTTCACACCCAAGGCTCAACTCTCGCGTCCCGGTACCAAACGACTCCCCGTTGGGGACCGCTGCTGTACAGGAGACACGGCACTAGATTCATTGACAATGGTCTACACAGCATTCAGAACGCACATCACAATCTGCTGTAACAAAAAAACAAACAAAAAAAACAGCGAGTCCGCTAAAGGTGAACCGCGGTATAGCGAGGGACCACTGTACAATAATTTCCAGTAGTAGAGCAGGGCAATATGGCCAAAAATATTTATCACGATATATATTTGAAAATTTGCGATAACAATATAACTGACGATATAATTGATGTGAGACAAAATAGAACTCCACAACATTACTAGCACAAAAAGAAAACCTTCCATTTATTTTCACTTAAACAAGAAGCTGGTTTTTATGTACATTAAAGCTTTATAAAAATGTAACAGTGCAAATGCAAATTCCTTGCTGAAAGTTTAACCAAAAGGCATTTCCAGTAGAAATGGGCTGACATATCCTGAGCA